AAGATCTTCCACTTTCTCTTCCCCACTGCAGATATCTCCATTCACCTCATCCATATCTGAAGTTTTGAATACACAGTTGAAGGCCTGCTGCCAGAAGTCTTTGATAAAACCATCTTCTGTAGTGGAGGGATTTCTATTTAAAAGAAAAGGTTTGAATCCTGGTGGGTTATTACCATGGATTGTGAAGGACAGAGCACCATGGATCATTTGGGCATCCCAGTCACGTTGATAGACCTGTGAAGTAAATTCCACCTGGGCTGTAAATATCCAGACTTTACCTTTGATGATATTACTCATTGTTTCTTTTTTTGACAGATGTGGTAACCATCTCAATACCATCATGGAATAAGATTCTCCATAAAATATCATTATATTAGCATTGCTATCCATGATTTTATCATGGGTTTCTGCACCTTGGTTGAATGCTCTGGCAAGTTCTTTGAAAGATGTTATTACGGCAACTTTCTCTATCAATGCAAAGCAGATGCCATGACCAAAAAATAATGGTATGATTGCATCTAAAAATCTTTCTCCATTATCATTTTCCATCACCAAAACCCCGATCCATGTCCATGTGAAGTAGAGAAGCAAAGACACAATCCCTTCATACTGAAGTCTTTCTGTAGGGCTCATTTGGAAGAAGGAAAGGCCCGGGGTTTTATAATTCATGATTGGAGCAGAGCCATAGACAAACTGAAGAAAGGTTGACAGCAAAAGAAAGAGATAGTAACAGTCATATTAACCATAGTTTTATTCCTTTATTACTTCACTGTGAGAGGCAACACACAGAAGAAAAAGTGCGCAACTTCAAGACATTCCTGGTAATTTCGGTGCATATATCAGCAAGAAAAATGCAAAGAATGTTATGTTTCTGAGCAGATCGCACAATGAGCAGTGAGAGAGGTCATAAATTCTGCATGCCAAGCATGATAGAGGGGAGGACAAAGAAATCAAACATAGCCAGTGATTTGATTGTGGAGTTACTATGATGCAGAAATCTGTAGAAGGGATGTTATGACATCTCCCCTGTGTCAGCATTGAGGATAACACACTGAACCTTCCTAATGTGGATGCCCTTTGGACTGTAGCACAGGTATGTCTATTGAGATCATTGGGGAATATGAAATAACTGTGAAAGAGCTCCTTGAGAAAATAAGTTGGAATTTTAAGTGTGACTTCAATATGTTCAGATGAAGGCCTCTTTATTCATCTGCCTGACTTTGCCTATTCCAAGTGGATATTACAAAAATGAAAAGAAAGCCACAAGGGCAGGAATAATTGGCACGGCATTCTTCTAAATGGAAATACGTTTATCGGCCAAAGTTATATAGGTCAGCAATTCATCGAAGAGGGTCTGTCATAGCCAATATTTCAGGTAACCGATCCTCGTTTGAGCTGCTATTAAGGGACATCCAAAGTTTAACTGAAGAAGTGCATTTGGAACAGAGTAGGAGACCATGATTAAGCTTGAATGAATGGGGACTGGACATTTTGAAAATGCGAGTGAAAAAAATATGCACAGAACTGTTCAGTATTACAATTTTAGCAATTGGAAATGATATATTCACTTCAGGTAACCAATTTGACACCCTTTCAAATCTACCCAAGTCCTTTCAAATCTACCCAAAATGTGTGTGTGTGTTTGTGATTTGAACATGAAGGCCTTGCTGCCTAAAAGAAAACATAGGCATTCTGTCAACTCCCCTTTCTGAAAAACAAAAGTATCTTTAGAAAATAAGCTAGTCTTGAGCAAAGAGAAGGAAGACTTGCCCAAGGACAACACTTTCAACTCCAAGTGTCCTTCCTAAAGCCCTGGTACAGAACTCCTTTCAATAGCTACCAAGGAAGGAGCAAATATTTATCCTTCACAGATTGGAGAACCTAAAACAATACCTATTAAAACTACATTCTGACACTACATTGTATGAAACAATCCTATCTCTCAACTTCAGTGTTTCTGTCTCTAGTGCTATTAGTGACCGTGTTCCTACAGTCCTTTGCCAAATAATGAAATCAAGTTGGCCTCATTCTACACTTCTCCTTTGCCTCTTCATTATACTGAACCAGAGGAGCCATTGCTCCACAGACTTTGCAGAAATGTCAAAGCATGACATATGCTGACTTTGCTCCTGCAAATTCCCTGCACTGGGGCAGACAACAATTCAATCAAGGGATAACTCCTTTATACCTCAATGAGCCTATTTCCAGCTTTTCCACTCAAGTGTGTTGGCATTAGAGACCAAGTCAAGTAGCTTCTTTTTAGACCTGACTGGCCTCCCTGTTCCAGATGCAGTCCTGACCTGGTCTACTCCAGGAGCCCTTTTCACTGAATGAATGTAATTTCTCCTTAGTCTCTTAGCTGATCTCTTGGTATACAGCTGAAAGAAATAGGATCTTACCACAAAACATGGGAGCAAGAATCAATGGCCTTGCCTGGTTTTTATCTCATCAAACTGCCTGCAATACCTAATCATTACATTTAATTATTCCTTATGATTTTTCTGATTCGTTTCATATATTCAATCTCACTTAGTGGTGATTATGTGAATGGTGAATATTTAGCATTGCTTAAGTTAGGAAAAAGGGGACACCCAAACACCTGAGAAGAAGTAAGTTCCATGAGTTGAGATACAAAAGGACTTTGAAGAAGTTTTCCCCTAAGTGTAGAGGTCAGAAAAAAGTGGTTACAATTGGCAGAATTTAGAAAAAAAAATGCAACTTACATCTGATGCTTTGTGGCCGAGCTCATCTTCTTTATCCCACTACAAGCCAATCTGAGGCAAGCTGAAGTATAGCCTAATGATTACTGTATGATGAATCAATGAATGTGAACCTTACATGCAAACCCACCATTCTAAGTTATTAGGAAGCTAATTACACATCTTCAGTGCATGTTGTATGAGAAGAACTTCAGTGAAGGGTACCCAGATGATATTTTGACTACCCATGTTTACCACAAAGTTGTAGCATAGGATTCTGCACAAAAATCCCACAGGTTTAATTGTACCCTATTTGATTTTGGGTTTTACTTACATTAGAACAGTGAAAAAACTCACTGGAATATACAGTATATTCCTGTTACATACAGTATGTTGCCTAATATCTGATTTATTTTTCTTCAGACTGACAAGCGATTTTGAACTTGTATTTTTAGATAGTGGAACTCCCTAAATTGCTGTACGTATGCATATTTTCAAGAAGAGCTACTACTAAAAGGCTGGAATAATATCTGTACCCTTTCAGAATGGCAGGCCAGCATTGTTTTGTAAAATAATGAGGTCAGGTTATTTAAAAGAGGAAGTAAAATTACAGGATCTGCAATTAATATGGATCTTTCATTCCCACAGGAATGACACTCCATTCAGCCACTGAACTCATTCTGTGCCAAGATTTATTTAAATGAAGTGGCACTCAGCTTGCTATGTTAGCAGAGAACATCATAAGTTTACTCTGAAGTGAGAATTTATGCTGGTAGAACTGGAGACAAAAGAATGGAACTGTGATGTCATGTAGTTATTTACATATCTTCCCATGATGTTTCAGATCTTTAAATGCAGTTTCTCCTTCGGAGTTGAATAGTCTTACATAGGATTACTCAAGATGTACAACATCATAATTCTAACTGTCCATCTGGCAACATTTAAATTTCAATAAATCAGAATCTATAGGTTTTTGTCCTCTCTCTATATGTCTACACGCATAAACTTTCATTAGATTAAAATAATATAAATTAGTGTTTTTATAAAATAATACTTAAGCCTAAAAAAATAACCATAATGAAGAAACATATAGAGTGATATATACTGTATGTTATCTGCAAAACTCCCAATTTCTTTGATTCACAGAATAAACTTTATATGAACAACAAAGAAATAGCATCTACACAGGGATATAATTTCAGGTTGACATAAAATACCTGTGGAACCTTGTAGATATCCAAGATAGTTGCAATGTCAATGGAGGTTATGGAGTCTAGTCCCCCAATCACTGCTGTCAGAGGATTCTCAGTACCACAGATGTAGTTAGGAATAAAGCTCTTTAGGTTGCAAAGTAGTAGCATTGTGGCATGGTAGGTCTTCTGTGCACTGAAATGACTGTCATAAATGTGGAAGCCCAAGGTGACATTGGGTAGGATAGAAGGATTTTCATTGATCTCCTTCACTGCAAATACCATGGCCAGGATGTGTTGGTAATTCTTAGGAAGTAAACTGGAATGGAATAAAACTTTTATTTGATATAGATATTTAAAATTCTATGTGAGATGGAAATTTAAATCTAAAATGCCCTCTGTTTTGCATCTTCCTTATTGCTGTACCCTTCAAATCATTTCTTTTTTTTATTATATAAATCTGGGTCCTTTTTAATTTGTGGAGGCCCTTGGTAGGAGACTTTCTCTATCAAATTTATAGAAAGTTTACAAGATAGTGTTTTATACATTTATATCCTTCTATTTTTGCAAACACCTTTGTGATGAAGAGTAGTGTATAGAAATGATAGGTCAATAAAGGTGAATTTGGTTCATTAAAAAATATAAACAAATTGCCACTCATCACTGGAGAATGGCATCTCAGAATGATCTCAATCATACGTTATCCAAAAGAGTGGGAAAATCAGAAAGGGAGAATCTGTGCAATTTACAAAGAGAAGGCTAGTACTGTTTGTCAAGCTTATCAGAAGACTCAATGAAAAGTTAAATGAAGTATTTTAATGCTGTATTTTCATAAAATGTTCTGCCAAACATATTGAGTTACAAATCCAATATCTACCAGGAGAAAAGGATCCTCCAGGATCAGGACTGTATGCTAGAAGGAACAGAAGAAGAAGAGATCCGATGAAGGAAAGGGCAATTGCGCATATTTCTTCGAGAGGGGTTGAAGTGAAATGATTGTTGGCAAGGAAATTAAGAAAAGAAATGGTGCATATCTCTAACCTGGATTTCACTCTCTTCAAAACTGAGGAATTGAGCCCAGTAATATAACTGAGCATGGAGTTATGGGTATAACTCCATGCCCATTCATACCCATAACAAAATATATCAACCTAAAACTGAATCCTTACACAAGATCTTCATGCAATGGTGGTGGCGGGACTTTATTGAAAATTAGGCCATCGTGCAAAAAACTAGCTAGGGTTGCTATGCCACCTACTGTGAGGTCTCCCGATTGATGATATTTGTGATATGGCATAAAAAGTCTTTGAACTTCACATTTTCCTTGATGAGTCTTATAAATTTGGGGAGAAAATAATGCTAGTAGCAAGATTATTAAAGCCGCCATTCTCAAAGTAAAGCCTGGATTTTGCCTTTCACGCATACTGTACTCTTCTCATTTCTTTGGTGACAGTGAAAATTCAATGTCTGGTAATCAAGACTCCTGTCAGCCAGCCCTTTAGAGAAGAATCTGTCTGACATCCTCCTGGAGGGCCCACGTCTGTTTTGACTCTTTCTTCCAGCTTGAAATATACATTGATATGTTAATGACATCCTTCATAGTTTTGGGTCTTGACCTTGTCCCTGGACATTGTAACTCTGCATGAGGGTAAACAAAAAGAAAACTACTACCATTCATATAATTAAAGGGGAAAGTAATTACCAGTACAAATCCCAGAAACAATGAAGAAGAAAACAGGTGTTCACACCTATGAAACAAAATGTTCTCTTTCATTTAGAAAGGACATTTATTATTGAAATAATCAGTAACAAAAAAGTTACACTTTTTAAATTTTTTTATTTATTTATTAAATTTTTCAAGCACCCATCACCCCCCAGGGGGGGAACTCTGGGCGATT